GTATATATATATATATATATATATATATATATATATATATATATATATATACTAATAAGTAGTGTATGAAGGACTGAACGAAGTTTCCCTGAAAGCACACGACCGGTTTCGCGGTTCTTGCCGTTCGTCAGACATGCGTATCCGGTACTCTTTGTCAGCTCATTCATATACATGCAACCAGGAAGTATATTTTCGTCACAATAACCCCATTTGCAACACTGGGTAGATTTATTTCGGTAGCTCTTTCAGAACCAGTCCACTGATGAACCAATACCATGACTCGATGTTTTGCAGTTGGGTTAGAGGCTACTAACCGCCACAAACACGACTTAAGCGATAATTTTACAAAATACTACTGGATACACATGCCTGACGAGCGGCAGGAACTGCGAAACCGGTCGTGCGTTTCCAGAGAATTTTTCTCATCATTTATATACTACTCATTGTAAAATATCTTATAAAGACGCTTAAGTCGCATTTGTTGCGGTTAGTAGCTTCTAACCCACCTGCAAAACATAGAATCATGGTATTGATTCATCAATGGACTGTTTCTGAAAGAGTTGTTCAAACAAATTTAGCCGGTGGTGTGTGTGAATGGGTAGCTGAAAATCGAACAAAAATGATACCACAGATGATGTGCCTATGCCAATAAAGCTTGAGTGTTGTAGGCTCACTCTAAAATTGGTCAATGAACCGCCAGGGATCACGTTCCCATGATGAATCGCCCAAAGGAACTAGACTGGGCAGCATTCTACCTCGGAAGAATATTATTACCATTAACAATGCCAATTCGTATGCGCTAAATCGAACGAATGACGGGGGCGTTATTTGGTGCACATGTGGATGGTCTATTCAAACACTCACCATTCGTTGAAAGGAGAAATCGGGCATGGTTGGTTCGGGGTAACCACCGTATTTTATTGATTTTTTCCTCGATTTCCAGGGATTTCAAGTAATCGAATTCCGGTTCATGACTAACAAATGTGCAATAGACATTGTGATTCACACGGATTTGTGGTTTTTGCTATGGAGAAAAAGACAGGGAACGAGAGATAGAAAAACCGGGAGATCGGGGTACAAGGGAGAAACGAAGAATTGCATGAACAAAAACACCAATGAATGTTTGTATGAGATCATTATTTTCATACTTTGAATAGAACACGAAAGAGCAGCAAAAGCGAGTTATGCCAACGGGGAAAAGTGTGAACTAAATCAGAAACGTCATCGGTTTCTCATTCGACTAATTGCAAGGAGTGCAGGTGAGCAGAATCCGATTCACATAACGGACGAAGTGCATGAATGACAATGGAAGCACCACCGTCACAGTTATGACTAAACGGACGAAGAGCCGACATCCGAGGATATAACCGGGTTAGTGAACCACCGGTAGTTCACGCAGGGAAGTTGGCCAGAAACCCTGATTCCGAACCAACCAGGAGGAGAGGTGTACAAACCACATATATGATTGCATCACCTTCCTGTGTTTCGCCTGCCTTTCCGTATCATTCACTCTTAACCACTGTCCGTTCTAGTCATCTGTAACCCCGATTTCCCATAAGGCCACCTCGTGATCCCGTGCCTGGCGGCTAACGTACGCAGTAAGCTGTGATATGATCCAAATGTCTAACAAACGGTTGTTCGGTTGGGAGTCCGAGGCAATAATCCATCATTCAGAAGCGCGCGCGAGCATACATGCACACAACCATATTCTGATCATAAGGGAGTTAGTATCACGGTACAGTTCACTCAACCGATTAGGTTGAACAAATGTGTGATCCGCAGCGAGATAGGGGGGTAGGAGGTGTAAACGGAGTCCGATATACATATTA